TGAAGGTACCACACTACACAAAGTACACACTACACACTACACATCACACGGCCTGTCCTGTGAAGGTACCACACTACACAAAGTACACACCATACACTACACATTACACACTACACACTACACACTACACACTACACATCACACGGCCTGTCCTGTGAAGGTACCACACTACACAAAGTACACACTACACACTACACATCACCCTGCCTGTCCTGTGAAGGTACCACACTACACAAAGTACACACCATACACTACTCATTACACACTACACACTACACACTACACATCACACGGCCTGTCCTGTGAAGGTACCACACTACACAAAGTACACACTACACACTACACACGACACATCACACGGCCTGTCCTGTGAAGGTACCACACTACACAAAGTACACACTACACACTATACACTACACATCACACAGCCTGTCCTGTGAAGGTACCACACTACACAAAGTACACACTACACACTACACACACACATCACACGGCCTGTCCTGTGAAGGTACCACACTACACAAAGTACACACTACACACTACACATCACACGGCCTGTCCTGTGAAGGTACCACACTACACAAAGTACACACTACACATCACACGGCCTGTCCTGTGAAGGTACCACACTACACAAAGTACACACTACACACTACACATCACACGGCCTGTCCTGTGAAGGTACCACACTACGCAAAGTACACACTACACATCACACGGCCTGTCCTGTGAAGGTACCACACTACACAAAGTACACACTACACATCACACGGCCTGTCCTGTGAAGGTACCACACTACACAAAGTACACACTACACACGACACATCACACGGCCTGTCCTGTGAAGTACCACACTACACAAAGTACACACTACACACTACACATCACACGGCCTGTCCTGTGAAGGTACCACACTACGCAAAGTACACACTACACATCACACGCCTGTCCTGTGAAGGTACCACACTACACAAAGTACACACTACACATCACACGGCCTGTCCTGTGAAGGTACCACACTACACAAAGTACACACTACACACTACACATCACACGGCCTGTCCTGTGAAGGTACCACACTACACAAAGTACACACTACACACTACACATCACCCTGCCTGTCCTGTGAAGGTACCACACTACACAAAGTACACACTACACATCACACGGCCTGTCCTGTGAAGGTACCACACTACACAAAGTACACACTACACATCACCCTGCCTGTCCTGTGAAGGTACCACACTACACAAAGTACACACTACACACTACACATCACACGGCCTGTCCTGTGAAGGTACCACACTACACAAAGTACACACTACACACTACACATCACACGGCCTGTCCTGTGAAGGTACCACACTACACAAAGTACACACCATACACTACACACTACACACTACACACTACACATCACACGGCCTGTCCTGTGAAGGTACCACACTACACAAAGTACACACTACACACTACACATCACCTGCCTGTCCTGTGAAGGTACCACACTACACAAAGTACACACCATACACTACACATTACACACTACACACTACACACTACACACTACACATCACACGGCCTGTCCTGTGAAGGTACCACACTACACAAAGTATACACTACACACTACACACTACACATCACACTGGCTGTCCTGTGAAGGTACCACACTACACAAAGTACACACTATACACTACACACTACACACTACACATCACACGGCCTGTCCTGTGAAGGTACCACACTACACAAAGTACACACTACACACTACACAAAGTATACACTATACACTACACATCACACGGCCTGTCCTGTGAAGGTAACACACTACACAAAGTACACACTACACACTACACATCACACGGCCTGTCCTGTGAAGGTACCACACTACACAAAGTATACACTATACACTACACATCACACGGCATGTCCTGTGAAGGTACCACACTACACAAAGTACACACTACACACTACACAAAGTATACACTATACACTACACATCACACGGCATGTCCTGTGAAGGTACCACACTACACAAAGTACACACTACACATCACACTGCCTGTCCTGTGAAGGTACCACACTACACAAAGTACACACTACACACTACACACTACAGACTACACACTACACTCTACACTCTAGACACTACACATCACACGGCATGTCCTGTGAAGGTAACACACTACACAAAGTACACACTACACACTACACATCACACGGCCTGTCCTGTGAAGGTACCACACTACACAAAGTATACACTATACACTACACATCACACGGCCTGTCCTGTGAAGGTAACACACTACACAAAGTACACACTACACACTACACACTACACATCACACGGCCTGTCCTGTGAAGGTACCACACGACACAAAGTACACACTATACACTACACACTACACACTACACACTACACATCACACGGCCTGTCCTGTGAAGGTACCACACTACACAAAGTACACACTACACACTAGACATCACACGGCCTGTCCTGTGAAGGTACCACACTACACAAAGTACACACCATACACTACACATCACACGGCCTGTCCTGTGAAGGTACCACACTACACAAAGTACACACTATACACTACAGACTACACACTACACACTACACACTACACATCACACGGCCTGTCCTGTGAAGGTACCACACTACACAAAGTACACACTACACACTAGACCAGGGATGGGCAACTTTGGTCACGGCAAGGGCCACATTCAATTAATTCTCCCTGCCAAAGGGCCAAATTGTAGTATGCAAAAACATTCAATTATGAATTAATTATTTAAAATCAATTATGTCTCAAATTTAACTCAACATATGCCAGTGATCAAATATTATTATGGACGTATTTCTGGTTTTCATGATTTCATGGCAGATTTTGTCACATTTTCTTCATGTTTCCAATTCATTGCTTTGTAAAAATTGACCTGAGGGCCATTGAGGGTTGATGGGGGCCGCAAGTGGCCCCCGTGCTGCCAAACACTACACACTACACATCACACGGCCTGTCCTGTGAAGGTACCACACTACACAAAGTACAAAGTACACACTACACAAAGTACACACTATACACTACACAATATACACACTACAAAAAGTTAAAGGTGTGTTTGGGTTAGAGGAAGGGGCGGAGCTTCAGTAGCGCGCTCTGGACAGCCAGCCCATTCTGCACTTTTTATTTCTTCTGGATGATGTCACCAGGGTTACATATCGGCGCCTGTCAGGGGATTTTTGGTTTCAGTTCAGTGCAATGGAAGGGGACAGAGACAAGCTGTCCATATGAATATATATTAATTTATTCATATCTTTAAATATTCAGATCAACATGTGAAACATCTGCTTTATGTCAACACAGCAAACTGTGTACATTCTAAGCCCCTTGTTATTTACGTGTGTGTGTGTGTGTGTGTGTGTGTGTGTGTGTGTGTGTGTGTGTGTGTGTGTGTGTGTGTGTGTGTGTGTGTGTGTGTGTGTGTGTGTGTGTGTCAGTGTGTAAGTTTAAAGCTCATAAACGCTGTGCGGTCAGAGCCACTAATAACTGTAAGTGGACGACGCTGGCTTCTATCGGGAAGGACATCATCGA